GCCACCTTAGGTGTACGTGGCTGGCGCCTTAGCCGGTTGAGCTATAGGCGCCGAGCCATCATCACTAGGTCTTATTATCAGGGTAGGGCTTATATTTAACAAATGCATAGAAATCCTGCTAGGGCTTATTTTTTGGGTAGGTCTTATTTTCAGGGAAACACGATATTGCGATATTGGGCTTAAGCGATTCTCTTGCCTCAGCCTCCCAAGTAGCTGAGACTACAGGTGCCCCCCACAATGCCTGGCTGTTTTTTTGTTGCAGTTGTCATTGTTTAGCTGGCCCAGGTTGGGTTTGAAACCCACAAGCCTGGTTGTGTGTGGCCGGCGCTGTAACCACTGTACAGGCATCAAGCCATTGTATTTGTATATTTAATATGTGATCTAAGACAACAATTTTTCTTCCAATGAGCAGCAGAAAAGAAAAATGGTTGGCGGCTTGGCGCCCATGGCACAGTGGTTATGGCACTAGCCCACATACACCAAGGGTGGTGGGTTCGAACCTGGCCTGGGCCAGATAAACAACAGTGACAACTGCAACAGAAAATAGCTGGGTGTTGTGGCAGGTGCCTATAGTCCCAGCACTTGGGAGGCTGAGGCAAGAGAATCGCTTGAGCCCAAGAGTTTGAGGTTGCTGTGAGCTGTGACATTACAGCACTCTACTAAGGGTGACATAATGAAACTCTCTCTCAAAAAAAAAAAAAAAAAAAAAAAGAAAAAAGGTTGGACGCCCCTGTAGGGAAAATAGGTGTGTTTGTTTCTTTAACAATGAAAACACAGATGAAAATTAATGAGATTTTTCTTTTTTGTAATTATAGAGACACAGCTAAGTTCCTCTGAAATTCTTGACCTTGAAAGAGAAGTCTCTCCAGGTAGCAGAGAGACCTCAGATGAAGTAAGAATAATAACGACAGATAAGGAGGTGAATGCTCTCTCCTATAATTTTTCTCAGTGGTTTCTTTCTTCTGGTTGTCCTCTCTCTGATGCATTATTGACATTGGCTGAAAAGATTTAGGTGGCAGAGGATTTTAGCCTTTGGAACACTTACTTCAGGGAGAAATTGAGTTAATATTGATTCATCACTGTTTCTAAAAATAACAGTAACAATTTCTTGAGTACTTTTATATGCATTGTCATTTCTGTTATAGATGGGGAAACTGAGGCTTAGCATATTGAAGTAATGTGCTTAACTCATACTGCTATAAATGGTGAAACTAGAATTTGAATACAGGTCTGAACCTAAAGTTCTAGGGCATTTTCCATTATATGCCAGTAAGGAACAGAGATGAACAATCCTGAAAAAAAATTACTATATTTTGATGTGAACATATCTTTCAGCCCTGATTATAGATGTGATCAAAAATACAAAATAAAGATAACTGCATCATAAAGTAAGCAGATCTCTATGCATCATTACGTTTCATACCTTCACATATCTAGAGATAACCATAAAGCTGATTGATAACAAGTTCATACTCGTGGGCCAGGTGTGTGGCTCACGCCTATAATCCTAGCACTCTGGGAGGCCAAGGCAGATAGATAGCTTGAGCTCACAAGTTTGAGACCAGCCTGAGCAAAAGTGAGACCCCATCTCTACTAAAAATAGAAAAAACTGAGACAAGAGGATCACTCGAGCCCAAGTTGGAGGTTGCTGTGAGCTACGATGCCACAACACTCTACCAAGGGTGACAGCTTGAGATTCTGTCTCAAAAAAAAAAAAAAAATTCTCAGTGTGTATTTTTCATGTTGAGCCCAATAAAACAATTAAACTACCCAGAATTCTTTTAAAGAATTTAAAATCTTTAATTTGTTGCTGTGAAAAGTAGCCTGTTAATGAATTTTTCTGTCAAAATGAAGATTTTGGTTACATTTGTGTGTACTGTCTTACCCTGTGCGCTTTTTAAAAAGCTTAATTCTCTTTTTCTTTTCTTTCTTTCATTTTTTTTTTTTTAAGACAGAGTCTTACTCTTGCTCAGGCTGGTCTTGAACTCTTGAGCTCAAGTGATTATCCCACTTAGGCTTCCTAGAGTGTTAGTATTATGGGCATGAGCCAACATGCCCAGCCAAAGTTTAATTCTCTTATTCCTTTTTATACTCTGTTTTTTTTTAAAACAGTTTTTGTAGTAGAAGTTAGATTCCCTCCTTAGTCTCTATATTGCATGTAACTGGTTAGAAATTCTGCTTTCACGAATCATGCACACTGCCTGGTTCTCTGGAACCTGATCTGTCACAACTGACAGACCAAGATTTCCTAATGCCAGTGGTGGTAGGAAAGATGACTCCTGCAGTAGAGTGACTGAGGACAGATCCTGGTAGATAATGTCAAAATGATTTCTGGGTTCTTTTCTTAGGGAGGAAACAGTATTATTAACATAGTCATCTTAACATACAGAAGAAGCCCTATAAGCCTTTAGTTAGTTATTCAAGTCTGATTTGTTACCCATCCATGACTGCAAAGGAGACTTATTTTGGGGGGAGTTGTCAAAGAGCATGAACCCTATTTAAAATTTATAGGGGAGATGTCTGCACTACTGTACATCAAATAGATGGAATTATACAGCATTTCTTACAATGAATGTCTTCTTTTTAGTCTTGTTATTTGCTGATATCTGTGGACGTCCCTAAATGGTCTTAGAAGTTTCCATTAGAAGAAGTTAGTGATGCTGTAGTTTTTGAGTCATTGAGTAATCACTAATTATACTAATAAGTGATAATAATATTAGTAATCACTAATTATAATAAAGTGATAATAATAGTAATCACTAATAAGTAATCACTTATTAGAAAGACAGAATTGAATATTTTATTTGCATAAAGATAGTATCAAAAAGGGTATGGACTCTTGCCCTTGGAATTTGTATATAGGGTCATTTATTATAAAACGTCTTATTTATTGAAAGGTGGTTAGTGTGGTGCAAGTAACTTGAGAATTGAAATTAAAGGACATGACTTTGAATCTTAACCCCACTACTTCATGATGTTGGGCAAATTGTTTTGTTTATGAGGCAGATATTTAGTTTGTATACTTTTGTGCTAGTCATTGTTTTAGACTCTTAGGATGCAAAAATAAATAAGAAAAAGAGTTTCTGCCCAAAGGGTCCCGGTAAGCAAAAAGACAGACACATAAACAGATAAATAATGTGGTCTGACGAATGTAATGGTAGATTCCTAGGGCATTAGGAAAGTACAGAAGAGGAATGTTTTTCTGAATTTTAGTTCTTCAAATGTAAAATGGGGGCAGAAATACCTATTTTACTGGGTTGCTCTGTAGATTAAACTAGATATAGAATATAAAATATGTACCAGAGAATTATCACAAGTAGAGGTGTGCAAGTGGGAAGCAGTTATTATTGTACTGCTTTGTAATGTATCTCTTAAGTTATATTAGCTTATTAATGATAGACTCGCTCAATAGTATTTTGAGGTATTTGGAATACCTATGGTAGAATTATAGTTCCCTCTTGATTTGATTTCCTATAGTAGTCAGGTTTCCTTGGATTTTTCAAGTTTTCTGAATATCTTGCCTGAGATTTTCCTTAGTTGGAGTCTCAGATAGATATTCCGTTCTCAGGAAGAGTTAATAGAAGTAATTCCAAATCATAAAGCTAGTTTAGCCTTTAAATTTTTAAGTAAACTATTAATAGTCCTATGGTAAGAGGGGAAAGATCTAAATAGAAAGCTTTCTAAACTATATATAACTATACATAACTGGATGGGGGAGGATTTAGTGATTTGTAGGATATGCTTTTATTTTCATTGGGTTTATTTCTCTGAGGTTTTTTTGAAGTCTCAAGGCAAGGACCAGCCCTTTAAGACATCAAGAGTCAGTGTCCACGTACTTCTTTTGAGAAATAAGTATATAGTATTTAAAAAGAAGTAGAAGTTCTGTAGAGACCAAATCCCTGATTGCATTGTCCTAATAAAAGCTGCTTTGCTTATATTTTTTCCCCTTCAATTTCCTCCATAGTAGTTCATGTTTAAATAGATCTTTTTAATGGTGTTGGGAAAAAATATTTTAACATAAAAACATTGAGAAACCTTCTGAACCTATGAACAGTTCTTAGAAGTAGTCTTATATTCACAGTAAGACAATAATAGACTACTCCTTCTTGAATACATTAATAGTTGAAAGTTCATTCTCTGCATTTTATAGAGCTGGTGATAATAAGAAAAACACATTTCCTGCCCAAAAGGTTCTGGTAAGCAAAAAGACAGATACAAGGGAGTATGGTGTGAGCACCAGTGACATTTGTGTCATATGATATTTCTGTGTTTAGTGAACTTCAGAATGCCAACTAACTGCTCATTCACCACTACTTTTAGTAATTCAAGACTTGCAGATTCGGAGGGATATTGATTTTCCTCCTTCTACTCAAATAGCTTGCTATTTTTCAAGCTTTATAACTTTTTTGTGTAAGAGTTATGAGCAGGGAAACCTGGATTTGTGAGAAGCTCAGTGGACTAAACTTGGAATAAATAGGACCTACAACTTCCAGACTTAACCTGACTCTCCCCAGTGGCTCTTAGAGATGAAAATGGAACCAGACAGTCTCCTAATACCTGGCAGGATCAGCTTCCAGAAACTAAGGAGAGGCTTTTTACTTCTTCCACAACATGGTAGAATGGAATCACTGAAGATTTCTTTTTTTTTTTGAGACAGCCTCAAGCTGTCACCCTGGGTAGAGTGCTGTGGCATCACAGCTCACAGCAACCTCCAACTCCTGGGCTCAAGTGATTCTCCTGCCTCTGCTTCCCAAGTAGCTGGGACTACAGGTGCCTGCCACAACGCCTGGCTATTTTTTGGTTGCAGCCATCATTGTTGTTTGGCAGGTCTGGGCTGGATTTGAACCCTCCACCTCAGGTGTATGTAGCTGGTGCCTTAGACACTTGAGCCACAGGTGCAGAGCCCACTGAAGGTTTTGATGCCAAACAGGCTTGGCTTTGATTGAACCTAGGTTCACTTACTTTGTGATCAATAGGTTACTTTTCCTTTCTAAGCCTCAGTTTTCCCTTCTCTGTCTAGTTGGGTTGTTGTGAGCAGTGGGTATGGAAAATACTTGCAGAGCCTGGTGTACTATAAAAATTCAAACTCTGAATAGTTCCTTTTTTGCCTTTTTATTTTTTTTTCTTTTATGATACGTGCTTTTTAATAAAAGGCAGGTGTGTTGAAAACAGGACATTTGATGACAGTTTTATGCTTGACTTTGGCTTGGTATTTAGATGGCCTGTTTCTATCTCTGCTGGAATCTACACAAGCAGTAGATCTTAGAGATAGCCTAAACACCCCCACCTCCCACCCTCCCAAAAAAGAAAACCATAACCCAAATTGACTCAGAAGTCAAATTACCCATTGTGCTTTGGTCCTGTTTTATTCTTGTATCATAAGAGGTTTCTCCACACCTCTCCTCTGACCCCTAGTAATAAGGCATAATGTTGGCCCAAGTGTTCCTTGTTCTTAAATGGAAACAGTAGCTATGTGAGACAGTGTAACATTGATTGGATAGAACATGCTGTCCTTTGAAGCATTAGGCAGTAGTGCTGCAGTGCTCACACATACGTTGAATTAATCACTACAGAGTTCTTGGCTCTGACTGACCCGTACAGGTAAAATAAAACTGCCTCTAAGAGACCCTGGCAACTGTAGGAGAAAGGATAACTATGAAACACTGAGAGGAATAAGAGAGATAAGGTTTATGAGTGACTTCAGCATAATTGATTGTTTTAACTAATGACATCATTGAGCCTTCTTAAATATTTGGGTCTTGGTTTCCTCTTTCAATCCCAGAAGTCACAAATAAAACAAAATAGGTCTTATGCTTTATGTGTCTAAGCACAGACTTATGTTCTTTTTGAGATAGGGTTCTGTTCTGTTGCCATAGTTGGAGTGCAATGGATGTTCAACCTCAAACTTAAGGGCTCAAGTGATCCTCTTGCTTCACTGTTTTGGACAACACTTTTCTCATCTGTTAAACATTATGTTATATCTTCGGAAGATTGTGAGGGTTAAATGAGTAACACATGCAGAGTGCTTAGAACATACTTGTCAGGCACTAAAGAAGTATTAAATCTATTAATAGCATCCCTCAATCTTTAGTTCTGAATTTGGTAAACCAAATGGTATTGTCTCTTTGAACATAAGTTAAATATGATATGGAAGCTCTTGCAGTTCTTTGGGGGAAAAGATGCTTTATAAACTAAGTCTGTTAACAGTTGCTGTTTGTCATGTTCTTCAGGTTGGTAACAAGGAAGATGCCAGGAAGGAAATATCTGTTTCTGCCTTCTCAACCAGTACCCAAGTATCCTGCCCACTCTGTGACCAGGGCTTCCCACCTACAAAGATTGAGCGACATGCCATGTACTGCAATGGTTTGATGGAGCAAGATACAGGTAAAGACTCCTTAGGCCAACCAAATTCTTAACTCTTTTTGGTATGGTGGTTTTGTAGTCCAGAAAATACAGTGCATGGAAAAACAAACAGCTATTCTTCAGAGTTAAAGTTAAACTGTTGTTTTGGGGTTTTGTATCTAGTTAATTTTCTAGTATTTTCCTGTTCTTTATTATTTTGCCAGGTATATTATCTTGTTTGAAATGAAATCTTTGGTTTTTTTTTTTTTAGAGATAGAGTCTCACTTTGTTGCCCTTGGTAGAGTGTTGTGGCATCACAGCAAACTCCAACTCCTGGGCTTAGGCAATTCTCTTGCCTCAGCCTCCTGAGTAGCTGGGACTACAGGTGCCTACCACAACACCCAGCTATTTTTTTTGTTGCAGTTTGGGCCCACCCTCAGTACATAGAGCTGGTGCCCTACTCACTGAGCCACAGGCATCGCCCAAAATCTTTCTTTCTTTTCTTTTTTTTTTTTTTTTGAGACAGAGCCTCAAGCTATCCCCCTGGGTAGAGTGCTATGGCATCACAGCTCACAGCAGCCTCCAACTCCTGGGCTCAAGCGAGTCTCCTGCCTCAGCCTCCCAAGTAGCTGGGACCACATGCACCCGCCACAATGCCCAGCTATTTTTTGGTTGTAGCCGTCATTGGGCCCTGGCTGGATTCGAACCTGCCACCTTAGGTGTATGTGGCTGGCGCCTTAGCCACTTGAGCCATAGGCACCAAGCCAAATCTTTCATTTTTTAATGTTTCAACTAACTTGTTCTTTGCTATAGGTAGGCTAAAAGTCAGCAATAGGCAATAGACTTTGCATTTCAACATAGGAATATTGAGACGCCTGTGAAACTTGAGGAACTAAATTCTAGAATTGCCCATTTTACATTCAAAATAAGTTCCTTATGTTTTTTTTTCTTTTTAATAGAAATGCTACCTAAAAACAGCAACAGAAAAATATACCTATTTTACATTCATGTCCTACATGTCTCTGCTGAGTTACCCTGGAGCTACTGGTTTATCTCTCTTAAGAGTATACCAAAAGCCATAATTTTGGTGCAGTATGATATATTGATCAAGAAAATCTTGTGAGTCATAGCCCTTGAAATACTTCTGATTTGGCCTTTCTGTCTTATGATTTTAAACTCTAAATATAATAGTGTCAGCATAGTTTTGTGTGGTCCAATATACTGAATGTAAACCTTAGGTAATTGAAAATGTTGCAGTGTCTTTCTCAGTGCTACTTGATTACCCATAACTTAGATATATTTAAATCTGAAATTGTATAATAATGAAGTATTTTATAAGTTAAGATTGTCGGCTCGGCGCCTGTGGCTCAAGTGGCTAAGGCGCCAGCCACATACACCTAAGGTGGCGGGTTCAAATCCAGCCCAGGCCCACCAAACAACAATGTTAGATGTCTTTCAGCTACATGATACTTGCTTTAAAGCTTGTTCTTCCTTATTGAAGTGTGGTGGGGAAAGCCACCAACTCAGAGCCCCAAATGCTTACTATTGAAATTGGATTGGATTTGTTTTTGTATTTTCTTAAACCAGATGTAGACTTACTTCACCAGAACCAGGTCATTCACCATATTATTGTACTGATAGGCAGTTTTAAGTGTTATGTATCTAAACATATCTAAATACAGAAAATCTGTAATATGGTATTACAGATTTTTTTTTTTGGTGTAACAGATTTTATGGGACCATCATTGTCCAAAATGTTGTTAATGTGGTGCATAATTATACTACATCCTTTTTTTTTTTTTGAAACAGCGTTTCACTTATTAACCCTCAGTAGAGTGATATGGGGTCACAGCTCACAGCAACCTCCAACTCCTTGGGCTTAGGTGATTCTCCTGCCTCATCCTTCTTTCTAATGCAAACTTGTCTACCTAGAGTGAGAAATTTGATTCTTTTTTACCACAAATTACTTTCTATTTACCTTTAATTCATTACATTTTGTGGAACACTTTTTACATGGTGCTAGGCCTTATGAGACTTACTGAAGAAGTTTAAGACAAGATTTCTGCCATCAGAATCTTACATTCCCACTAGGGAATAAAACATGTACTTAATTTAATAGGCCAAGTGTGATGGCTCACACCTATAATCCTAGCACTCTGGGACGCCAAGGTGCGTGCGTTGTTTACAGTCAGGGAGTTCGAGACTGACCTGAGTAAGAACGAGACCCCATCTCTACTAAAAAGTAGAAAAATTAGCTGGGCATCATGGTGGGCACCTGCAGTCTCAGTTTCTTGGAAGGCTGAGCCAGGAGGATAGCTTAAACCCAGGAGTTTGAGGTTGCTGTGAGCTAGGCTAACACCATGGCACTTTAGCCTGGGGGAATAGAGTGAGACTCTGTCTCCAAAAAAAAAAGGAAAGAAATTAATTGACTGAGCCTGGTTGTTCAGGTCTATAATCCTAGTTCTCTTGCTTGGAAGGCCAAGGTCAGAGGAGGAATTCGAGACCAACCTAAACAAGAGCAAGACCCTCTCTCTAGTAAAGAAAAATAGAAAAAATTAGCCAGGCATTGTGGTAGGCATCTGTAGTCCCAGCTACTTGGAAGGCTGAGGCAAGAGGATCACTTGAGCCCAGGAGTTTGCGGTTGCTGTGAGCTAGGCTGACTCCACGGCAGTTCCTGGGGCAGCAGAGTGAGAGCCTGTCTCCCAAAAAAAGGAAATTAATTACAAGATGATACACGGTGAACGTGTACGTAAGTAAATGTCCCTGATAGTACAATGTGAGAGAGGAGAGCTGAGCAGTAAATAGGGATGATATCCTAGGGAAGGTAGGCTTAGCCTAGGCTTTGAAGGTTTTGGATAAACTCATAGGAAGATAGGGAGGCCTTTACGTTACTATGTGTTTAGATAATATAGGAAGCAAAGAAATAGTTATTACACAATAGCTTCCTTTTCATCTTTCTAGTAGTAGTTAGTTTTCTAACCTAAATCACCCTCTGTGTTGATACTTCAGGCCCCATGAGAGAGTCTCCTACAGGGAGTTCTTGCTGGAACCATACCACTCTCTGCCTCTCTACTTTTCTGGGAACAGAGTTCAGGGATTATAAGTGGATTGGGGAAATAGAGGAATTATGTGAAACACCTTCTAGTGTGCTTGGCATATGGTAGGTGCTCAGTAAGTTTGATCTCTACTTGCTCCCATCAGCCTGCCTGCCTCTTGTTTTCCTTGACAGAAATAGAAGTTATTGATTGTTCTGGCTCCCCTTAAGAGTTATGGCTGGAGACAGGTCTAGGCTCCCAGCCTAATTTTTTAATCTTCACTAAAAGGAAGCCTTTTCTTTTCTTTTCTTTTTATTATTATTATTATTATTATTTTTATTGAATGGTAACTATGTACATTAATGCACTTCTGGGGTACAGTGTGGTATTTTCACACACAAGCCGAAACACTCCCATCAAACTGGTTAACATAGCCTTCATGTCATTTTCTTATTGTGTTAAAACGTTCATATTCTACTCTTAAAAAGATTCACTTGTACCCTTGTAAGATAAACCACAGAAGTGATCCCTCCAATCCGCCTCCCTCCACCCATTCTCCCCTCCCCTTTCCCTCCCCTCTCCCCTGGAAGCATTTTCTAGTGGGAAAGAGGAGTTACTCTTCTTAAAGACATGTAACCGAGACTGGGAAACCATTAGCCTAGTGCCCCAGGGATGGAATAAGAAAGGACTTACCTCCCAGAGTTAATACCTAGTTTTCTATTCTTTCCTGTTTTCCCCCCTGAAGCTGAACCTAGACATGCTTGGTTTGATTGTGTAAAAGAAATAGTAATTAGAGTCATTTACATGAAGTATCTACTATTTATGCCTAGTTACCATGCAGCACAATAACAATTATGCATATCATTAAATATGTGTCTCATTAACTTTGCTGTAAGTTTAATTTGATTATAACACCATATTCTAGTTAAGTTGGTTCAGTCTGTTGCTCAATTACATGGCTATCTGTTCAGAACTATGAGAAATTGGAGAGACTATTCATAAGTCCTGTTCTCTTGAAGCTTATATTCTAGTAGTGGGAGGCAAACAAAAAAAAAATGTGTGCAATATGTCAAATGATATTTTAGAGAAAAAAATAAAGAAGAAGGGGCTAGGGAGTACAGAGATCAGGAGGTTGCAATTTAAAGTAAGTGGTCAAGGAAGATCCCATTGAGATATATTTGAGCAGGAACCTAAAGGAAGCAAGGGAAACAGTCCCTACACCACATAGCAGAGGGAATAAGCTAAGAAGATTTTGAGGTGTGGAGGAAAGAGTGTTACGAGTAGAGGGAACAGTTAATGCAAAAACTCTTGAGATGTGAACAAGCTTGCGTGGGGCTGGATTAGCATAAGAGAGACAAATGTTGAAACAAGAGGAGATGAAGAGAAAGATCACAGGACTCTTACTTAGACCAGAATAAGAACTTTGGCTTTTCCTCTGAAAAAGAGAGGAACTATTGGAGAAATTTGAACAAAGCATTAGTATTAACCAAAGGATCACCTTGGTTGCCTTTTGCATAGATAATTGGGTGAGGAATAAGGGTCAATGCTGTGAAAGAACAGAGTCAACCTTTTTTTTTTTTTTTTTTTGGCAATATGATAGAGTGGGAGAAACAGATTTTGAAATTAGGCAGATCTGAACTTAAATCAGCTGTAATATTTGCTAATTTGATAATGTTTAACAAGTTACCTCAGTTTCTTTCAGGTTTAGTTTCCTTACTTGTAAAATTAGTCTGACAGGGGCAGCACCTGTAGCTCACAGGGTAGGGTGCTGGCCACATACACTGAGGCTGGCAGGCTCTAACCCAGCCCTGGCCTGTTAAACCACAATGGCAACAACAACAAAATAGCCAGGCATTGTGGCGGGTGCCTGTAGTCCCAGCTACTTGGGAGGTGGAGGCAAGAGAATCACTTAAGCCCAAGAGTTTGAGGTTGCTGAGTTGTGATGCTACAGCATGCCACCCAGGGCAACAGCTTGAGACTCTGTCTAAAAAAACAAAAAAAATTAGT